CAAACATGTATGCATTCATCCATGTCTTCATTTATGTTGAGATTAAATAAACTAAAGCAGACTGAAAGCACTCTGAACAAAGATTAATAGTATTGCTGGATTTCACATTATGATACTCTGGGGTCAGCACTGGGTACTGTAGTGCCTTTTTTTCCTTCAAAGCATTTGTTCATTTCATCATGTGTCATAAGATCAGTTCTCATAAACTATTCATAGGTTTTACACAAGCATGAGTCTTAACATGTATTTCTATCCTTTCTATATTGGAGGGAGAAACAAAACAAAGCAGGACAGAACAAAACTTTTTCCTATAGACACATAAAACTAAAAAGACATATAAACTGTTGTACAAGGAGTTCTACCACGCTTACTGTATTGCTTCTTGTTACTATCAATAGAATTGGCTGTATCATCAGATAAAGTATAATTGAATATATCAGCACATAACAGTATTAATAGAAATACAACTTTGTAGATAGTGTAGAACTACAAAAACAGGTAATAATCAAACCAGAATAGGTATCGTAGTGAATCATTGTCATCAACACCCTCGGTTTTGTATTGGGGGGTAACCTGCTATTTACCTAAGTGTTTTCGAACTTTTTCACTCCTGGATTTGATCTCTAGTTGTATTTCTTCACTTATTGAAGCCTGTCTTTCCAACCTATCCATGAATACTGGTCCAGTTGCCCCTATCACTCTCTGGTTCCCTATCACATCGAGTTCTGTTTTCTCATATTTGATTTTGGTCCATATACCTTTCTTCAGGTTAATTATATTCCCTATAAAGAGCATCTCAGTGGATCGTACCACTTGAGCCACTCTGCCCGCCATTTTCTATTTTTTTCCTTAATTTAGTGTAACTAGGCCGTCTATATTAGAAATTATATCCAATCTTCTCTGCCTCATTTCTGTTGTGCTCTTTTGCCATCATTAGTTGTCTATTTGTCTTCTTCAGTTTGCTTTCTGATCCATTCATTGGGGCCTCTCTGCCACTGTTCTTAAAATCCTGGTACTTTTCTCTCTCTTTAGGATGTCCTGCAGTATTCTCTGTAGGGTTGGATTGGTGGTCGCGAATTCCCCCAGTTCCTCTTTATCTTAGAAGCATCTTGTTTCTCCATTAATTTCCAGGGACATTTTTCCAGGGACATCAATCTTAACTGGAGGTTATTTTCTTTCAGGGCTTGGAATACTTCACTCCACTTTCTTCTTGATTTGATGGTTTGTGCTGAGAAGTCTGCCGTAATTCTGATGGGCTTTCCCTTATAGGTAATCTGTTTCTTGTCTCTGACAGCTTTTAATATTCTGTTCTTATCTGGATTTCTGGGATCTTGATTATTATATGCCTAGGGGTAGCTCTGTTTTGGTTGTAGGTGGCTGGAGTTCTGTATACCCCATACATCTGAATATCATTTCATTTTCCTATGTTTGGGAAGTTTTCCTTAATTATTTCTGTGAATAGCCTTTGTAGTTCCTTTGTTTGTACACCTGCTTCTTCATTCACATTCTTTATTCTTAAGTTATGGATCCTCTTGTCGTCTTCTAGCCTTTGTATTGTTACTGCGTGTTTCCTTGTTATTTTTAAGAAATTTTTCCTTTCATGACCCCACATTGCAAACCTGTTCTCTAGTTCAGATAATCTATCCTTAGTTTCTTTCAAGCAGTTCTGCTAGTTTTCAATGGAGTTTTTAATTTCCTGGTAATCTCTTTGAACCTGCTTCATGTATTCTATGTTTTCTCTATTTTCTTTATCAAACAATTTTCCCCTTTTTTTGTGTTCTTCCCTTCTTCCATCTGTTTTTCTTGGGATGTGCTTAGCATTTCTTTAATTATTCTATTTATACCTTGCTTTACTTGGTTAAATACTTCACTTTTGAACTCATCTATGAGGTTTCAGAGATACCGCTTTATGTCTATTGGTGCCACGCCTGATATTGCATGTTTGGTGTCCTCATTCTCCTTAGCATTTACCTTTCCTGCATCAGTGTTCTCAGGATTGGGGACTGAGGACCCTTTCTTGTTGCCTCCTCTTATCATATTTTTTGTTCCTTCCATACAGGTGTATATAGGATGCCCAGCTTCTCTCTTTGTTGGTTACAGCTTGTCTGTAAGTGTATGCACGCTAACTAGGTGCTCCTCCCCACTGCAGTGTACTAGGAGATACAGACTGGGGCAGCCTATGCTGGGCTCACCCCTCCGGGTCAGCCAACCTGCTGAGGGCTTCACTGCATTAGGGTACACTGCCAGGCGTAGGGACTTGGTTTGGGCTAGCCTACTGGGTCTCATTCTGGGGCGTGACCTAGGTTAAGTGCTCCCCACCAATCCTGCTTGAGAAGGGAGTAGCTGACTGAAGTCACTGCAGCCCCTTGTTCTGGCCAGTTTGCCTGGTCCCAGAGTGTCTTCTGTTGGAGCCTATTCGTCTATGGAAGGGTTTCCATTCCCGTTACTCACCCGCAGGTTGATGCAGGGTTCCCCGCCAGCTGGGCTCTCAGTTCAGTTCACAGATTCCCATCCTTAGTGCGAATGTGTCTCCAGTGAGTTGAAACTGGCAGGCTATCCTGGCTGCACCAATTCAAGTGCAGCAGCGGTGGGGTGTTCAAGCAGTGAGTTCAAACAGCAGCACCAAGACTATAGCTATTTCAATCGTCGCACCAGAACTGTATTTTTAATTGGTTTCTCTCAGCTTAGTTTGTTCCTGGGTCGGGAGGGTCTATCTCCCTCTGTTCAGAACTCCTCACGCTGTATTATTTTTGGAATCTAAGTTGACTATCTCTGGGAGCCTCTGTAGCTTGCTGTTATCTATCCGCCACCTTTTTCAAGTCTCCGGCTAATCTCTTTTTAATGAAGATGGATGCAAAAATCCACAACAAGATATTAGCAAATAAAGTGCAGCACGTTATCACAAAGATCACATATCATGATCAAGTAAGCTTCATCCCAGAGATGCCAGGACAGTTCAAAATATATGTCAATAATTGTAATACATCACATAAATAAGAGCAAGGTTACAAATCATAAAATCAAAAAAAACATATGAGCATATCAATAGATACAGAAAAGGCTTTCAACAGAATTCAACATCTCTTAGTGATAAAAATCCTGAAGAAAAGATATAGAAGAATCATACATGAATATGATAAAAAACATTTATGACAAGCCAATAATGAGCAACATACTAAATAGGGAGAAACTACAAGCATTTCCCCTAAAATCAGGAACAAAACAAGGATGTCCACTATCTCCTCTATTCAACATAGTATTTGAAACATTAACCAGAGAAGGTAAACAAGAGACAGACAGACCAAGGAAGGAAGGAAGGAAGGAAGGAAGAAAGGAAAAAAGGAGGGAAACATACATACAAAGGAAAGGAAGAATTCAAATTATCATTATTTGCAGATGACATGATATTCTATATAGAAGACCCAAACTCTTGAATTACCAACTTCAGCACTGTAGCAGGATGTAAGATCAATATGAAAAGCCATGAGCAACTGTGTATACCAATAATGAACTGGATGAGAAAGAAACTGTAAAAACAATACCATTCACAGTAGCTTCAAAAAAGACAAAGTATCATAATTCCCTGATTTATAAACATTTGAGTTGTGAACTTTCATATATCCAAATGACCCCTCATTTGGTTTTGACAGTATACATTATATATTTGCATCAAAGGTGTGTAAGACTGTTGCATTTAGGAACAAAACTGACAAAAACATTCTCTCGGAATGAACTCATTTGTAAGTTGAAAACTTACTGTACCTAGGAATTAACCTAACCACAAAAGTAAAAGACCTCTACAAATAAAGCCATAGTACAATTATAAAAAAGAAGGTTAAAGAGGATATTAGTAAAGGGAAAGTTAGCTCCTGCTCCAGAACCGCAGAACAAACACTATCAAAATGGCCACACAACCTAAACTGATACACAGATATAATGCAATTCAAAACCAAATACCAGTAACATACTTTACAGATATATAGACAACAATCCTCAAATTCATATGAATCCAGAAGAGCCTCAGAATAGCAAAAGCAATTCTGGGCAACAAGGGCAAAGCAGGAGCCTATATACCAATATCTGACTTAAAGCTACACTACAAAGCAACAGTGATAAAAACAGATACTGCATGTGAATCAATGGAATAGAACTCAGGATACAGAAACTTCCTCAGACACATTCTGCTATTTCATCTTTGACAAAAGGGTCAAAAGCTCTATGTTGGAGAAAAGATAGCCTATTCAACAAGTGGTGCTGGGAAAACTGATTATGTTTGCAGAAGATTTAAACTGTACCCTTATCTCTCTCTCTCTCTCAACACATACTAAATTGAAATCAAAATGGATCAAAGAGTTAAACATTAAAACAGAAACATTAAACACGCCGGAAAATAAAATGGGTAAAATACTTGAAGACACACAGGTATAGGAAATTTTCCAAACAGAATCTCAATTGCTAAATAAGAGAAGGAATCAACAAATGGAGTTATAATCAGACTACAAAGTTTCTGTACACCAAAGAATCAATTAATAGGGTGAAGACACAATCTACAGAATGAAAAAAATTTTGCCCAATACTCCCCAGACAGATGCCTAATATCTAGCATATATGATGAACTCAAAGAAATTAAACCACCTAAATTAACAACCAAGTCAAGAAATGGGCAAGAGGGCTAGGGATTCAGCTCAGTGGCATAAGCGTCTGCCTGGCAAGCGCAAGCTCATGAGTTCAATCCTCAGTACCAAAAAAAAAAGAAAAGAAGAGAAATGGGCAAGACAAATGAACAGTCACTTCACAGATGAAAAAATACAGATGGTCAAAAAATACATGAAAAAAATGTTCAGCATTTCCGGTCATCAGAGAAATACAAATTAAAACAACATTAAAACTCTATTTACTCCAAAAAGAATGATAACCATTAAGAAATCAAATAATAACAAGTACTGGCAAGGCTGTGGTTGTTGGTGGAAATGTAAACTAGTACAACCATTATGGAACTTAATATGAAGACTTCTCAAAGAACTGAAATTAAAATCCCATGTAACCCTGAGATGCATCCTCCAGCTAGATGTCCTCCTCAAGAGCCTGAGACATCATACTACAACAATGCTTATAAAGCCCGAGAATGGATGTACCTGGGAAATACGATGTCACTACACTTCATCTTAGCCAAAAGGCCTAGAAGTTATGGAAAATAAGACGCTAAGTGAAACAAACCAGACATGCAGGCTTAAATACAGTGTGGTATCTCTCACATGAGTGAGGCAAAGAACCAAGAGAATAATGAAGGGTGAATAGAAGGGGACAAGCGGTTGGACCTCTTGCATTAGGGCAGGATCCAAAGGAACAGGGTAAGGGGTGAGGAGGAAGGAAGTAAAACAAGGATGTGCCATGTACAGGAGCTTAGTAACCTCAACTGATGTAAACTGTGTCACAATCTGAGCTACGATTAGCAGTATCACTAAGAATGAAAAACAGGATAGGGAATGAAGGAGGAAGAGGGAGGGATGAGGAGAAAACAAAAAGAGGATTAAAAAAAACAAGCTGTATTGTATACACATGTAACCACTCTCCCGAGATAGTTTACAACTGCGAATTGTGAACATGTACTAATAAAATAAAGTTAATTACTTTTTTAAATATGTCCAATTTAAAAACATTTTCAGGCTGGTAGTGTGCTCAGTGGTAGAGTGCTTGTCTAGCGTGTGTACAACTCTAGGTTTAATCTATAGCACCATAACAATTTTAAATTCATTTTCCAGCTTCTTGTAGGGACAGGTGACCACACACGTGATAGAGATTTCTAGGAAACACAGATTTCTAGTAAATTTTTGCTTGAATATTTGTAATATTCTAGAATACCAAAGATTGAGAGGGCAGCCTACTTCACTTTGTCACCATCTTCTCAACTATGTGGAAAATAATTAAGCTGTGGTACCAAAAGGAGGTCAAAACTCAAGGACTGCACTTCCTTCAAACCAAAGGTCGCAGCCCATCGGCCTATCGTAACCCAGGCTGGCCTTAAATTCACTCTGTGTGTGTGTGTGTGTGTGTGTGTGTGTGTGTGTGTGTGTGTGTGTGTGTGTGTGTTGAGACAGGGTCTCACCGTGTAGTCCAGCCTGGCTTTAAATTCACTCTGTGTGTGTGTGTGTGTGTGTGTGTGTGTGTGTGTGTGTGTGTGTGTATTTGAGACAGGGTCTCACCATGTAGTCCAGCCTGGCCTTAAATTCACTGTGTAGCCCAGGCTGGCCTTGAACTTGCATCAAGCCTCCTGCCTCAGCTTTCCAAATGCTAGAATCACAGGCATACACCACCACATGTTGCTCTGCAGTCCTTAGTAAATGCACTCTCTCTGACATCGTCACTGTTAGCTACATTATTCCATCAGTTTAAGATACAGATAACATGTTTTTACAATATTATTGACTTCCCTTTTTCCATTGGCACATCTTGAAGATAACAGTGCATAAAGCCACAAATGAACTCAAAAGAATACAGGGTATATTAGGCTAACTTTCCACCACTGAGCTACAACGCTAGCCCTTTTAACTTTTAGACAAACTGTCACTAAGTTTCCCACACTGGCCTCAAGCTTACTATCCTCCTGCCTCAGCCTCCTGTGTAGCCAGGATTACAGACATGTGCCACCAGGACCAGCTATAAACTCAGGATATACTTTACGATTATCTAAAAATGTTCTCAACTAGCAGAACCTGTTATCTTAGAGAGTCACAGAACTAATGTTTGTCTTTACCTTTCATAACAGCCTGAAGTGATGCAACCTCTTCCCTCCACTGCCTCTTCACTTCGTCTATGGCTTCTTGTTTGGTGTTCTCCGAGACTGTGGCAATAGCCTTGATATTCTCCATCTCTGCTTGCGCTTCCCACAGCTGTGTCCGAAGGTGTCCCAAATCATCCTGCGCAGCTTGTAGCACTGCATTTTGCCTCTTCAGATCCTCTGAAAGAAAGCAAAGGGCTTTGCATTAACGAGGCTTCACTTTATCAGTGTAATGATCTAATGAAATCAGATTGCAAAATATTAACATAGAAAGCTGCGGAAACCACCTGGACAACTCTCCTTGATAGAAGAGCAATTATCTCCATTTTAGCTGGCCCTTCTTCCGTGTATTGATATATGCACAGCTGGCCAAGTTTTGTCCTCATCCCCCTCAATTGGCCTTAATCAATGCAAATGGATCTACCAGAGATGCTGATACGTAGCCTCTGAAGCAATGTGACAGGTGGATGAAGCCCCACCCACCACTCCCAAATAATACGTGTGAGTTAGGCTGAGTAGAGCCACGCTGTCAGCCTTGAGGTAAGAGGCTATGACTTCTCAGAGCACAAAAAAATCACACATCAGAGCTGATGCACCAACCTCAAAACAGAGATACTGCCTCGCTGTGTCATGCAGATGACTCCTTCTGCATGTCTTCCTGTGCATACTGCAGAGGTGACTTCAGGCCTCCTATGCGTCCCACTCACGGCAGGCACACACTTCCCACCACTCTCACTGTCCCTTCTCCGCAGGCCACTCCCTTCCTCAGGAATTAATAGAGCCTGGGTCTGGCCCTGGGCTGAGGCCGCTGCTCCGACCAGCCATCACACTAGCTGACTTCGGACCTCCGTGGCTCCTCTAACTACAAACACACCTCAGCGTCTTTATTCTTGCTATGCGCTGCACTGGAAGTGGGGCTGGAATGAATTTATTGGAATTCCAATGACTTTTGCATGGAATTACAAAAATAAACTGCCCGGACCTCGACAAGATCCTAGAAAGGTTTTCTATACAAAGTGACACCATTTTAACAGAGTTGATATTTTATTTTTCAAAAACTTTATTTCAAAGTTACCTCATCATTAACAGGGTGTATTAGGGTCAATGCTCTGTGCCAGTATTACCAGGCTTGCCCACAGCTGTCAATGGACTCTGAGAAAACCCATTTCTTGACATCCAAACGTTAAATTATTGTTCAAAACATACCAAACTCCCAATACTTGCAAAAGCATTATATGCACTATTTCCCAATGACTAAAATTAAGTCATTTAAACAAATTATGACTGTATAAATCAAAATACCACTATCAGAATATTAGAATATCACACAAACAATACATTGCATACTACTCTGCAATCTGAAACATTATACTTCATATTTGTGAATGTTGACTTAGATAATTAAAACACAACCTAGCAATGAAGTTTTAAAAACCTACTTCTGTATATGCATTCTATACCTACACTCTATAAGGCTCATGTCATAGTTTAGTAGCAAAAACATCTGTAAAACTTCCTATTATGGTTGATACACTGTGTCAACTTGAGAAGTTACACTGAGAGATTCAGCAGGAGCCAGGCTTCCTGCTCTGTAAACATCCTCACCCCGGGCAAAGGAGGCAGGGAGATTTTGTGAGTACTACACCCACGCGGAGGAGGCTACATACACTGTAAGGGAGAAGAGGCTTGTTCCCCCTTTTGCTCTGCTGTGCCTTGAAGTGTTGCCCCAGTGCCCTGCCATCCTGCCTTGGAGCCAGCTGATGATGGACTGAAACCTCTACAGTGAGTCCAATGAACCCTTCCTTCCTTCATTTTGGGTGTTAGGCATTTTGTCCCAGTAACAGGAGAAAAGTAACCAATCTTCTTATTCCACATGATAGTTTTTGTTGTTTGTTTACGATCCAATGTCTAAGAAAAAACTATAAATCCCACTTCTAGACACTGTAACTGAATATTCCTTTTGGCTACCCACACTGTATAGGAACTTGGGCTGTATCTCCTTATTTTCACTGAACAGAAGACACAAAAACCCCCACAACAAATAACACACACACACACAGAAGAAATAATGGAAAAGAACTCTTCCAAACTATTTTCTAGTCTCCAGCTATTTCTGTTCCAGTTGTTGTTTGTGGATGTTTCGGGTTTTTTGTTTTTGTTTCACTGAGACAGGATCTCACTGTATAGGTCAGGCAGGCTGACCTTCAGCTCTTGGCAATCCTCCTGCCTCAGCATCCTGAGTACTGGGATTACAGACATGTGCCACCACATTCAGTGCAAGTCAAACCTAAAATCAAAGTTTAAGAAGTTAAAGTAATTAATTGAAAATACAAATAGAACATCACAAATATACTACCTTCCTCTCGGTAACAATTACTAGGAATTTGAGTGTTTTTTAAACCTTAATGTTCTCATAGCATATTATTCTCATGTAATTAACTCTACCCCCCACATTGTTTTTACATAAAACTATTTCACTCATTAAAAGGAATAGCATAGTATCAAACATATCATACATTATGTTGATAGGTATGAATACAAATCCTCTTCCACACAAGACATTCTCCCTGAGGCAAGACAGCAATGCCTCAAGTGTTTCCCCATTTTAATGCTATCTTTGTCATACATCAAATTTCCACATACATATGTCTCACTCTGGAAATTCTACTTTACAAAAAAAATAGTCTATTTGACTATAAGCATTCCATAGACTATACTGTCTAACACAGCACTGCTTAAACCTATTTATTTATTTATTTATTTATTTATTTATTTATTTATTTTGAAACAGGGTCTCTCTATGTAATTCAGGCTGGCTTTAAACTCACTGCAATCCTCCTGCCTCAGCCTTCTGAGTGATGAGATTACAGGTGTGTGCCAACATGCTCAGATTTCTTCTTTAAGCACTGTTAGATTCACAGCAAAATCTGAATAAAAATACAGAGATTTCCCAAATACCCTATTCCCACAATCCTCCCTTCTCTAGACATCTTTCACCACAGTAGTGTTTCTTACAATCAGCAAACCTACACTGGCTCATTATTATCACCTGCCGTCCGCAGTTTACAGACTAAGGTTGTCGCTCTCCCTTTTTTCCCTCCCTAGTACCCAGGATTGAGCCCAGGGACCTTCCACCACTCAGCCGTGCTCCAGGCAGCCTTACTGAGATGCTGAGGTGGGACTTGAACTTGCACTCCTACACCACTGCCTCATGCCCCCACGAGCTGGGTACACCCCACACCAGGTGATGCTTACTCTTGGCACTGCACATTCCATGGGTTTGACAGATGCTGAGCGACACACATTTACCACTGCAGTACCATGTAAATAGTTTCCTGCCCTAAACATCCTTGTGTTTGGCCTACTCCTTCCTCCCGCTTCTTCCTACTCCTAGAAATCACTGGTCTTTTT